AGAGAGAGAGAGAGAGAGAGAGAGAGAGAGAGAGAGAGAGAGAGAGAAAGAAAGAGAGTTAGAGTGTGAGTGAACGAGAGAGAAAGAGTGAGTGAGAGAGTGAGAAAGAGAGAGAAGGGAAGGGAGAGGCGGAAGTGGTTCGCCACGGACGAGTTGATTCTCGACTCGGGATTCACCTTTTCGCTGTATCGTTCGTACGTCGTTCGTGACAATGCAACGATCGAGCATCGTACTGAATCGCTTGATTCTCATTGCAGCAAAGGCGTTTTTTCGTTTCGTGAGCACGGTAGCATTTGTTTGATCAGTTTGGTCCACTTAATGTTCACAACGTCTCGAGCAACAAAGATAAATAACGTTCACGGCGTTGCGTAAGTAAACCAAACTAACCAACCAAACGCTACCGTGGTCACGAAACGAAAAAAAGCCTCAAATGCGCCCGAAAATTTCGTTGCGGGGCGAACACTTGGCGCGAGTACCGGCTGGAGATCGATCGCTCACAGACGATCGACGTAGTTGCAGTCGATTGAACGAAAAGATCATCGGTTAGTCTGGCCGCGGCTTGTGGTCTATTCTATGCGCATTTAAATTCGGGAACCACGTATTCGGGCGTATCGCGGGTAGATACGGGAAAAGAGCGGAGTGTAGAGAGTGCAATTCTAACGGATAGGTCTGAAGATAGGTGCGTTCGGTTAGCGCACGTAAAGGTGCGCCTCGGAGAGTCGCGGCAACGTTCACGGCAAAATTTTCACCGCCGCGCGCATGATTCGAATTCGTCACCGAGGTAAAAACACCGATACCCACACGCATATCTAATTCTGAGCGCTCTTTGTTTTGGCTTTTACAGATATGAGTATTTTGACTTTCAACATGGAATATATGTACATACATTGAGTATACAGAGTGTTCGATAATTTGCGCGACACAATGCACTAATCTTTTTTAATTAATAACTGAAAATATGTGGTTGTTTGCGAAATGAGAGAAGAACTTTGCGTTCAATTTGATGAGTTTTATCTGCAAACAACGGGTATGTCAATAATTATCAGACATTCATGTGTGCAAATGTATAGATATATTCTACATTGAAAGTTTAAATATTTGTATTTAAAAAGAACGATCCAGGATCATGTACGTGTCTGAGGATTGGTAATTTTTCCTTACAACTGGATTTTAAATCGCGTCCTTAAACCGCTGCGTGAGTTATGAAATAAAATATACGGCGACGCACATAAAATACTTGTCCGTCGAGCAGTAATAAAGGTGAAAATTACACTTTACGGCAAACTGACGGCAAGTTCTTCACACTTTCGAATTATAGTTTGCTTAGCATAATCCTTGGACTTACTAGATGCTAATCCGATGCTGCTAATGAGAATTCTGTTTAATAGGGATTACAACATAAAAATCGCGGCATCTGGAAATTATGTCGGAGCCGGGATCGCGACGGGATAATCTACGGCGATAATCGACTTGTCTACCGAAATGTCCAGTGTCTTGAATTTCGAAACGAAATGTCGGTGAAAACACGACGACAGAGTTGGTCGACGGAATCATCGGCTTTTTTTATATCGCGGAAAGATCGAGGTGCGTCCGTGACGAGCGAACGAGTGAGCGCGCGAGCACGCGATTAAGTGCCGTGATTAGCGAGTTTTTCAAAACTTTGCACTCTGGCTCCATCGACGTGTTGATCGACGTGAGATGGAAACAAAAAATGCCGTGACCGGTGAAAAGTTCGACAGGTCGCGCGTAACATTCCGCGTGATCATTGCTCACATATAACACTATAACGATGACAAGCATTATCTAATGCAAAAGTAATTCAGTCTCTTCTGAGAAACCACATACTGAAAAAGCAACTCCATTAGTGTAACTAAATATTCTGTTCTTCTTATGAATTGGATGGAAAACTCGGTTGTGTGGGAACAGAGAGATTCTTGTCGGAGAGAAAGAGAGAGAGAGAGGTTTTTACGCTGAGAGAATTATATTAAAATCAACAAATATTTTCTTAATACCATTAACATATTTAAATCTACGTTCTCTTTATTTAAATCAAATAGAGTAAAGGCATCAAAAGCGACATACCATTTTGTTTTTGAAGGTTATGTCTTAATATAAAGCTCAAAATATAAATGAAAATATATACATGTAGTTGAAAGTATCTCCTATCAGATAATATCATATTTTTACTGAAATTGTTTCTAGATTTAGAACAAAAAATGTTTTAAGTTATACAGTAAAAAAGTGATGAAAATAGAAATATCCAAAAAATATTTTTATAAAAACCAAATGTATGTAGAAGAACTTAATATTGAATAAAAAGGTAATTAATCTACTATTTAATCTACGTAATTTGTCAAAATCATTTGTAAAAATCATAGAAATAAAACTTGCGAATTTCTAAAACTTGATATTTGCTAATTTAGTATATAAAAGAACAAGAAATATACCACGTATAAATTTTTCATGACTTAACTGATAAAACGAATTATGTTTATATTATAGTTTCGATAAAATACAACATTTAACATATGAGATGTAGAGATATGTCGCTTTAGGAGACCTATGTCGCTTTTGGCTACTTTCCTCTATTGTTTACTTGATTTAAATAAACAATATTTAGTTTAAATATAGAGAATGTAGATTTAAGTAAATATGTTAATGGCATCCATCAAAGAAATATTTGTTGATTTTAATATAATCTTTCTCTCAGTGTACTCAGACAATTGCTCTCAGTTGTCTCAACTGAGTTTTATTGTAGCTAGATATTCAGACGAATATTTTTAGACACACTTACAAAGATGTTATTTCTCGTCAACGATTTTCCGTCTGGCCCCCATTCTGTTACCGAACTGTTTTTTAAGCATACACAAAGAAAGAATATTCTTATTTGGAGATTATCATTAGCATCTTAAAAATAAGATTAATGTAAAAATGAAGTTGTATGGCGTTAAATGAAGACAAATTAACCTTCAATCAAGACGAATATAATGAGATTAACACAATCATTTTCTCATAGAATATTACAATATTAATATTTTTAATTATATATATATATATATATATATATATATATATATATATATATATATATATATATATTAGTCTTTAATGAAGACGATATAGTCATATTAATACAATCATTTTCTTATATATATTAGTAAGATAACGATGTCGTTAGTTGTATATGAGAAAATGACTGTGTTAATTAGACTATATTCATTTTGATTGAAGACTAATTTATCTTCGTTCAACGCCATATAATTTTATTTTAACATTAATCTTATTTTTGTCAACAATAAAAATATTCTTCAAACTAGAATATTCTTTTTTTCTGTATAGTAAAGGATGAAAAAACGTTTATATAATTTAAGTGAGTGCGTAGCTCGCGTAATCGTTGATTACTGTTCTTTATCGTTCTGTGACATTGATCGGATAAAAGCGTTATTATTGTTTATCTGACTGAGACCGACTTTTTCGATAGTTTTTGTTCGACTTGTTCGATAGTAACACTTTAACACTGTCGGCTTGGAGATACAAAATTACAATTCTTGATTGTTATTTCAATCTCCCGGTCAATGTATTCCGCGGTTTAATTCCAAACAGTGATTCATTATGCTTGTGACGAAGACAAGGAAATGAGCGAAAAGTGTTTGTCATCTTACGCTCGAACGAATGATTTCTCTATTACGAAACTACCGCAGTTCACAGGGCGAGCTTGCGAAACGTAAAAAAATTCATCCATCGTGAAGAAAATGATATGCGGTTGAAAAATCGCGATCGTATCGCGCCTAATGCGTGGGACATGGAGAAAAGTGTTCGACGTGTCGAGATCATTCGTTTCATTACCAATTGTCAACAACTGGCCATCGCACTTTTGTGTATGTTGATTTTGAATGTCTTCAGCTCGAGTGTCGTCGAATTTCTCACGACATTTCGCTCGGTTTCAGCGGCTCATTCGTCGCTCTGAATTGTCGTGTGGTATTTTGCTTAGGCTTTAGTACGCCTCTTCAAACAAGAGCTGCGTGTAATCTCTGATAAAAAATGATTAGCGATGTATAATATCTATTTTGAGATTTCGGTTCTTAAATAATACAAAAAGCGCCAGATATCTTGCTGCGTCTTTTCTCGATCTTGTCTTGCAAATTTCTCCCTCGACCAAAGTCCATACTCGTCTGCGCACGGAGAAAAATTGTAGCAAAAATCACGTTAAAATTATATTTCTTTTCTCTTTATATTTTAAAAACCAAAATGTGCTATTAAAGTACTTGCTATGTTTTTAGCGAAATTTATTACATTCCTTAGCAGGATAGACTTTACCGACAGTCTATTCTTGGACTACTGAATAGTAAAATCGAAAAAAAAAAAGAAAAGAAAAAGAAAGAAAAAGAAAACTTATACAAAAAAGAAAAGAAACTCTAATATATATTCTCTTCGTGTAGTAATTCCGGTCATGATTCTGCACGGTCTAAGATTACAAAAAAGTGCACTTTTCACTACGAGAATATTTTCTCCGAGAATATTTTCTCCGAGAATATTTTTCCGGAAAGTAAGGTAAACATACGCGCGTATAAATAAAGAGTGGTCGTTTCTCTCTCGAGAAACCGTCGTGAGCCGTTGGAGTTCACTTTTCCGCGAGTGTTTTACTTTAAAACGTTCAATACTTTCGTATCTAAGCCGC